GCGGGCGGCCTGCCTCTGCCGCTCTGGCTTACGGGCTGCTGGAGCCCCAGACCTTACGCATGGTACTTTTTGCCCAGTGCTGGATCCCCCTCCGTGCACGCCGCTCCCCTTTCTCCCAGGGTGGTCGCTTTGGGTCCCTGTTCCTGGCGCTACGCAGCTGCAAGGGTTGAGCCTGGTGGGTGATGCTGCGTCCCATCCCGCCCTCTTCTTGCAGAGCCGGGCCTTGCGAAGGGGACAGAGGAGCAGCGCTGGGGGCGACGGCGCAGGAAGGACCCTCCAGCGTGGGCACCCACCCAGAGAGGAGAGGGGCTCTCCCTCAGGAGCACTCACGGTCACAGCAGGGCTTCTCCATGCCATCGGTGCTGGAGAGCTGGAGCCAGCTGGGAAAAAGCTCCCGAGCCACTTGCCAAGAGGCAGCGCAGCCTCGGGACGTGCCTGTGCTCCCTGTGCAGGGGGGGACGAGCTCCCGCCCCGGGGGTGCTTCCTGGTGTGGCTGGCATCGGGATGTGGTGGCCAGCAGCTCTGCTCTCCCAAAGGACCCTGTCATCCTGGGCTTGGCCAGGTTTCGGACAGCCCGTCGGGAAGAGGAGAAGAGCCTCCTGCAGGCATGAGCCCTTTCCAGGATCTCCCCTCCACGCCTGCCCCAGCCGCTGCATTCCCAGGGCTGGGTGCAATCCCGGGAGCCGCAGCGATACCTTTAGCAAAGGAGAAGCCCAGGGGAGCGAGGGGACCTCCGAGCAGGGGAAACTGGGCAAAAAGTGTGAATTATGCTCTTGTCAAATATCCTCCTGTTTCTCCCTCTCCATTCAGGGCGGACACCCATGTTTCCGTGCCGTTCGGGGATGGGGGTTTGTTCAGATGAGGCTGGAGGAGCAGCCAGGGTCAGGCGGGGAGAGCGTTGTCGGAGGGTCATTTTCATCCCGAGGGCCCTGCACGTTGGTCTGGGTACGGGGGGCAGTGGGGTGAGGGCTGGGAGGTGATTCCCTCGAGCTTTAAAGCCAATCTGTGCTGCCAGCATGGTGGGAAGCAGCGATGGGGCCAGTCCAGCTCCTCCGCACGTGCTGTGGCGGGAGCAGAGCTCGGGGGGGCGTACAGAGGGGTGCTCGCGTTCGTGGCTGTGCCCATGCCACGCTGCCGCATGGCAACTTTTGGGGATGATGTTGGTTGTAAATATATCATGGTGACTGTAAAGGTTTTGTCCTGTTTTGTCTCCCCACCCACCCTGTGCGTGAAATAAACCTTTGAAACTCTGCGATGCCTTCGAATCTGTGCCAAGCAGAGGGATTTTTCCTCCACGTGCCCTTTCCGAGGGGCTGCCCCAGGCTCGGGGCTGTGTCCCCCTCCTGGGCTCCTGGGGCTGTGGACCGGCTGAGCAGGCAGGCGGGGAAAAGCTGTGCCCTGACTGTGCCACGAAAAAAACCTGCCACATCTCCCCACACCCCAAAAGGGCAGCAGAGCTGCTGGGGCTCCCCAGGGGTTTGCGAGCCTGGGAAGGCACCAGAAATGCACCTCCATCGCACCGTAATTCAGGAGGTTTTTACCAGTGTGAGCACTTGCTTGGGGGAGGCGGAGAGCCCTGCACTGGGATGGTGCCCAGAGCACCGGGGCACACCATGCACCCTGAGCTGCCCTGGCCACCCCATTCCTCCCCAGGAGCCCGTGCAGGGGCACCCGGTGCCACCTCCCAGTGCTGGGGAAGTCCCAGCTCCTGCATGGAGCCCGCGGGGTCTGGCTGCAGCCCCAGGGACCGGGGTGATGGGGGTCTCCCCTGCTGGGATCCTCCCTTGGTGCATTTTGCTTTTAATACCCAGCAAGGATGAAATCACTAAATAAAGAGAAAAACCCAGCTCTCGGACACTGTTTCCATTTTAGAGCTTCAGACGTCCGTTTGGTGGCTCTCAGAGGGGTGGTCTCTGATCCCAAACCCCAGGCAGGCAGTGAAGGGGGGCTGTCCCAGGGAATGGGGGGCCCCAGGTCTCTGCAGGTCCCACTCAGAGCGCTGGTGTCCTTGACTCCAATCAAGCTAAAGTTTGCTTGAGTGGAGCTGCTTCTGCCTTTGAGCTTAATCATCTGCTGTAGGTCCTTGGGGGGTGTGCGGTGATGAGGGGGTGGGGGGTGCATTGGTGCCAGCTGGGGAAGCCACCAGCCCTCCCCAAGCACCTGCGCTGCATTCCCAAGCTGCACCTCCCTGGGGTCCCCTTTTCTTTATTAGCAGCCAGCACCAGGTATTGGTGTTCCTTTCTTCCTGCTGCTCCTCTCCCTGGCTGGGTATGGGCTGCTGGGCAGGGATGTGTCCTGTGGTCCCCTGGGGTGGCTTGCTGGAGGGGCAGCTCCCCTAGCACCCCAGTTCCCATGCTGGGTTGTGCTGCTGGATTAAACTTTGGTGCTGGCAAAGCACTTGGTGCTTGTGTGGTGTTTGGATGCCTCCAAGTGCTCTCTGTGTGCTAAACGCTTCCCTGAGGCTTTAGCTGCTCTGGGTAGCCAAAGCTGCTCTGTGCTGGGAGGGTGTGATGAGTGTCCTGGGCTACCCTTGCTGGTTTTATCTTTAAATGCATTTAACTGGCTTTTCCCTTCCCTGGGGGATGCCTAAGTGGCTAAGGTGTTTTATTCCTCACTTAGCAATACTGCCCTGCCCAGGGAGGCTGCTCTGGCTGCTGCCCTGGCTCTGGGGTGTTTGCTCTCGGTGTTCCCAAGTCATGTTTCTGCTGCAGAGCAGCTGAGCGCTGTTTGCTCTGGTGTTTGTCCCACAGGAACTGGTTCCTGGTGTTGGGTCTGCTGTGGAGGATGAGCAGCTCTTCTCCTTTCTCCAGGTTGCTGTCAGAGGAGAGGCCCGTTGCTGCCCTGTGGGGTACGGAGCTGGATGCCCTTGGTGGGACCTGGTGGGGAGTGAGTGGGGGGATGGTGGATATGCCCTGTGGTCACCTGGGGTGGATGTGTATGGGGTGTTTCCCTCTTTCTCGTGGTGCTTGCACCCAGGAAAGCCCCCCCTTTTGCTTCTGGCTGGCCTGAGGCTTGCAGAGGGGGAGCAGCACATGTGTGCACAGATGCTGCTGCATCCCCGCAGGCTGCCAGCTGAACAAGGGCACCCAGAGCTGCGTGGTGAAGGAGGATGATGACTTCTTGGAGCACCTGGTCCTGCTGAGGACGGTGAGATCCGAGGCTCACCAAAGAGCCCGTTGGAGCAAGCCTGTGGCCCAGGAGCAGGGCTGGCTGATGGCCGGGCTCCATGCCATGGGGTCTCTGCTTGGCTCCACAGATCTGCCTGGGGGCTGAGGCCAAGGATGAGCTGCACGTGGTGGCTGTTGATTCAAAAAATACCTATGGACAACACAAGCCAGTGCCCATCGCAGCGCTGCGGACCTCAGTGCTCCCCATGGTAAGGGCAGCCAAGCGCCTGGTGTGCAGCCCCTGGCTGTGGGGCAATAATTTACCCCCGGACCCTGGTCTCCATTGAGCCATGGCCAAGGCAATGCTGGGGGCTCCTTCCTGCTCTGGCTGTGTCCATCTGACTGCCTGCAAACCCCTCCCTGGTGCAGGGGAGCTGCTTGCCCTGTGACAGTGCCATGGGGATTAATGTGGGCTGCTGCCCACCCGGGCTGGGCTTGGGGGGCTCTGAGCTCTGTCTCTTTGCAGATCAGCCTCAAAGGTCTGGAGCTGGTCCCTCCTGTCACCTTTGTGCTCAAGTGTGGAGCTGGACCAGTTTATCTCAGCGGGCAGCACATCATCTGTGAGTGCACCAGGCTGTGGGTGGGCTGGGGCTGCACTGGGGATGCTCCTGGGTCCCACGGGGGCTTTAGGGGCAGCTGGTGCCCCAGGCAGGGCTGCTTCACCCTGGGGATGGGGGGTTTGCTGGTCTGGGGGGAAGATCAGTGCCCGTTTGCATTGATGGGCTTGACACAGTCTGTGCCGGCTCAGCTTTGCTGCCACAGGTGGGATGGTGTCCGTGTTCCTGCTCCCCGTGTGGGGTGGGATTGCTGGGCTGTGTTTGCAGTTGGGGGGGTTCTGCCTCCCCTCAGTGGGTCAGGGCCACCCCCCGCTGCTTCAGCCTTCCACCTCCTCTTCTCAGTGGAAGATGATACCATGTGCGAAGCCCACGAGGAGGAGCTCTCGGAGGAAGATGTAGGTGATGAGGACGATGCCAAAGCATCATAGAACAGCTGCAGCTCGGAGAAGACTTTGGCTCTGGGAGTGGAGCTGGTGTGATGGTGGGGACACCCTGTGCCGGGATGATCCTTGCAGGGGGACACAAACTGTCTGGGCTTTGGATAGCATCCGTCTTCCCTGCCCTCTCTGTTCCTACTGTATTCCCAGAAATGCTCTTTTTTCCTCTTTATTTTTTTTTTGTTGCAATAACAATAGGAAAGTGCAAATACCCTGGCATTAGTCTGGACTGTGCTCTGCTGCTCCTGCGCCAACCTGTTCTCGCTTGCTGTCCTGTCCCTGCTGCCTCCCTGCCTCCTCTTGGGAAAACTCCACATGTGCGATTACCGGGTGCTGCAGGCTGTATTGCCAACCCATGGGGCTGGGGATCCGGCTGCCCTACCTGCTGCCAGGACGGGGGGCTCGGGGGCTTTGCCAGCCCCAGCCTGGCTGGAGGAGGAAGGCTGCACCATGCTCTGGCTCAGGGCTTGCGTCTCTGCATAAGCTCAGCCACCCCTTTGGAAGCCAAGGTGCTCGTGCCCCCGCTGCGCAGCCCTGGCACCAATTATCCTGCGCAGTCCCTCCTAATGGTCCTCTTGTTCTGGTCGGCATTGCTCTGGTCATTGCCTGCTTGGATCAACAGGACAAAGTTGTGTTGCCGTCTTCCTGGCAGCCCAGGAAATGCAGCCAAAAGCTGCCCTGAACAAGCAGCTGCTGAAATAATATAATTAAAAGTCCTAATTGAGAAAATTGCCCAAATCCATTATAGGCATGATATTAGCTGGCAGTGGGGTTGACTTTAAAGAGGAGCCCTGAATCTGCAGGCGGGGCAGGCTGGCAAGGGAGCACACGGGTGTCTCGCTTTATTTTCCCCACTTATAATAGAGAAAGGCAGAGTGATGAGCTGATCGGCGCACGGGGGAAGATTGCTGTCGTCACGCTGTAATGGCTTGGGAGAGGCTGGAGATGGGCCTGGGTGAAACCAGCCCTGATGGGCTGCAGCCTGGCAGCACGTCAGCCCCCAGCGTGG